TTTGGTTAACTCTAAAACAAATGACCGCAGATACTTGAAATTTTCACTGAATGTTTATATAAGCATTTTATATATTTGATACAATTTCAAAATATTTAGATYTRTTTTGAGCAGTTTACTGACATTTTAATTTTCAACTTTTTTGGTTTTTTTTCTAAAAATATCGATAAAAATGTATTTGTTGGGTAGAAAAGCTTGAAAATTTAATACAAGGCTTCTAACACATAGTAACAATAGCAGTTGAAAAATATTAAAATACATAGACACAATTTTTTTTATAAGCATTTAAAGTTCAAATTTTGACTAAATACAAATTACAGCAATGTTCAAATTATCTTAGTTAGAAATTCATAAAAATTTTTCTTTTTAAATCTAAGATTTGAAATTTTTTAATAATCTATGATATATCCTAGACAGATAAACCGTCTGCACTCAGAATCGTTTTTCGTATACAATGATATAATATCATTGGATTCAAATTTAATTCCATCCATTACAGTAACCCACATGTAACCTACTGTACAGCAGAGCGACATCCACTTACACAATTTTTTTTTTATGTGTGTACACATGAAAACTTAACTATATAGAAAAAATACCTTGATTTTCAACTTTATAACTTCTAATACCGAATTGGATCTAGTTGGAACTTGAGGGAAGAAAAAAATTACAGTATTTTTTAGAAAATATTAAGGTAAACTGAGTATTTTTAAGCATAACCAGTTTTTGATTGGAAATAGTCTGAGAGAAAACAATTACTGCGCAGAGGCTAGAGATCATCTTGAATATTATGCTAAAAAAGAAAAATCAAAATTTAATTGGAAATTTGTACCTTATTTATTTATTTATTATCTTAATCACTTAAATTCAGACAAAACAAAATTACATTAAATGTATATGAATTGATAAGCTACAAAAGAATGCTACAAAAATGTTGGCTTATATCCAAATTCAATAATATTACCATTTTTTTTTTTTTTTTTATTTAACAACAATGAATATAGTTTAAAGTAAAGTGAAAAAAAATATGTAATAAATCAAACATAACTAGAGTAAAAAAATATTTTAAATAATAATTAAAATGGAAGAATAGAATAATTTGTCACAAACAAAAGTAATAATTAATATAATTATTGGATTTTATATACTTTTTATCAACATAGATAAATATCTTTTCTGTTGCTGCTACTTAGGAACTTGTTCGTATTTTAGCAGAACTATAGTGTTATGTTTGTGCGATTATAGAATGTTATTAACAATATAAGAAATCAAACACATGCACCGATTTAACTTTTTTTTTTTTGATAATATCAAATATTTTCAAGACTGAAACTAGTATGGGGAATAAAAACAATAGATTTTGTTTGTTAGATATAAGTTATAGCAATATACTATATGAATGTGATAAACAAACTATAGAAATCCATAACTCTTCATGTACTTATTATTTATAACACTTAATATCTAATTAATAGTATCTAATTTGTGTTCTTTCAAATCTATGTTTAAAAATTATTAAAATATCTCTAATATTTATCATCTCATAACATGGTCCGTAAATGTCAAAAATAATCAAATTATTAATATTCACTTAAAATATTATTATAGTATAAAGTTAATGTAAAAACTCTATATCTGAAATTAAACATTACATCTTCTATAATATCAAACCATTTTAAATGCCATGACGTTATAAAATTTAAAGATCTAAGATTATTGGGATATTGTAAATTAATTTGTATATGAAAACATACATAGTATTACAAACATAAATATATCTAATTGTATATAATGTTTGAATTATGTTCAAAGCTGAACGATTGGCGCATGATTCCACAAAGATAAATTCTCAAAATGAGCTGGCACTGTTAGTAAGGCATCATCAGTTGAACGATTGACGGAGCAATTCTGTAATATGTTTTATTATTAAAATAATACTGTTCATAAAAATTTAACAAATTAATGACCAGTTTTAATCATTAGGTATTAAAAAAAGGAATAAATATAAATATTTTTTGTATTATTTTATTAAGTTTACCTTTGGTTGCATGCGGTATGTGTCCACACATTCAATATTTAGCTTAATCACTTCCATTTTACATTTATATCCACTTAAAGTCAGCTTGATGATGGTGTGCAAAGGTACATTAATGTACGGTAATTCTTCTGCAAGATAAATAAAATAAATAACTTAATACAATACCAATGTTTCAAACTTTAAATTGAGTTTTGATAAATAAATTCAATTACCGTGTTTCTTATTTAAGAAATATCCAAGTAAGCATCTTAAAACAGCTTGGTGGCTGATTATCAATAGATTATCTATATCTCCTTCAAGTTCCAACAATACTGGTTTCAATCGTGTCATAATATCTATGTAAGACTCTCCCCATGGATAGCGATATTGTAACTTATCTTGATCACGCCAAGCAAACTCTTGTGGAAATTTGCATTGCATCTCTTCATAACTCAATCCTTCACATACACCCTAATAAAAGATTTAACATAGAGATACTATAACAAAAGCAAACGAAAAGTGTACTTACAGCATACAACTCATTCAAAAAGGGCACTGGTTCTATTGGTGCTTTAATACCTTGAGCTGTCTGATGGGTACGTTTTAATTCACTTGTCCACACCCGTAGTCCCTCTAAACGATTCTCATTATTAAAATATCTTGCCAATGCCGCRGCATAAGTGCGGCCACGGACAGACAATTCAGCATCTCCTCCAATACGACCCAAAACATTATTTTCACTTTCTCCATGCTATAAGAGTTGTCAAATTGTTATGTTGGTAAAAATAAAAATATTATTGTTTAATAATAGACCTACTCTTGAAAAATAAAATGTTTTTGCTAATGGTTTGAAATTTGAAACAAAGGCTAGCACCTCACTTTGCATAGGAGAATTCAAACGACAAACAGTTAGTGATTCTCCTAAATACAATTTTAAACATTAATTAAAAGAACATTTTTTTTTTTTAACTGATTGTTTTAAGTATTACCTCCATTTAAATATTTTATGTAGCTATAGCCATCTGATTTTGGTTTCATTGGTTCATGTTGTTCCATGTAATGTTCAATCTTGTGATGAAAATCATCCAGYGCTTTCTCACTGGACATATTTCTATAGTCCTTACTGAATTGCAATACTTCTTTGACATTGTGCTCAATAAGCATTTCATCATCACAAACACACTCAATAAATAATACCTTATACCCCATAACTTTAGCAAAATGATCATACACCGTTTGACGACGAGCTTGTGTTATATGAGTACCATCCAATATCTAAAACATTWWACAAACATATATTTTACAATTCTATAAAATAATTATCACTTAATACTTACAGCTACATCTCCTCCATCTTGTAACCATTTGGTGGCATCATCTTGTGCTTCTTGAGCACTTAATTGACGAATCTCAGCCGCTTCACTGTTTTCCTTACGAAAGAGGTCATGGCTACTATACAACTCAATGTGTTTACGCCTGTATGAGCTCACAGAAAATACTAGAAATACATAAAATAATTATATATTTTTTTGACACAAATTTACATAACAAACGTTATAAATATCAAATAAATACTAAATGTCTAATATAAATTAGAATTTATAAATAAAAACTGATAATACTATATAATTAACTCTTAATTCTTAAGGGTACTAGGTCCAATAAAAAATAAATGTACACATTTTAAATATATGAACACAACTTAATTATAGTAGCGTATTTAAGGTTTTTCCGCCTGTAGGCACTTTCCATTTCACCCCCC